GAAGCGCAGGCACAGGGCGGACATTGGCCAACTCTCTGTTCGCTCAATCCACTGTAGCTCGAGGTCTACCCGGCGTGTGCCCCCAGACTGGGGCCAGGCTGCGAAAGGGCAAGCTGTGTAAACAGATACAGCAGGACACGGGGCACAGGCGAGCTGAACACTGGACAAGAATGTGTGCGGCTCTGTCATGTGGCTTGTTTTGGTTAAGGCCTGCAATAGATGGGCCCATCAATTTTTCCTCTTTTTGTGCCATTTTTGCAGGCGCCCAAAGCGTTTAAGCTGAAACTGAAAAGCATTCGGGCTGCTATTTAAGGTTGAGCAAAGATGAAAGCATATTGGAAATTGATAAATAAGTCGATTCATTTATGTACACAGAAGATCAGCCAAATAAGACATTAATCTCCCAACCACAGGCAACTAAAAGCAAACTAAGCTAAACAGAAACACTTACCCACCAATAAACAAACTAAAACAGAACTTGTATCATTTAGTGTTTGTACACCTAAATTAACTCTATTTGCTTCTCTTGGAGATCTTTCATTTGCTAAAACTAAAAGTTTTGTGAGCGGAATTCTTTAGCCTTAGACTTTGATTATCTGCAGTATATGAATGAACAGAGTTTGGTTTGATTTTTTTATAGATTTAATCATGATAATCATGATTTAGTGCTTTCCATATATATACTAATGATAGAATTATAGTTATTTACAGAACTATATATAGGTTTATGTGTTATTGATGAGCTGACAATGAATTTTAGTTAAGCTAATATTCATGTTTCAAAATATTCGTGTTCGAAATATTATTAAAATTCTCATTGTTTTTATCCTAGCTGTTTATTTTTGTATATCCATTGAGAATGAGAATTCTGTGTGTATTGATTTTGTGTATGTGACAGATCCCATAGAGCTTACATATTCTAGATCAGCACGATTAACTGATTTATTCTAGACTTATATATCCCTTAGAATGACTATAACGATTTTGTAAATCCCTAAAACTGGAGACTTTTCATATTGTAATGTATTTTTCTGCTAATATACATACATATACTGTAAATATTCCCATTTATTCATTTAGTTTTCCTACAAATGATGATTTGCCACCTCTGATAATCAATCATAATTTAAAGAAATCTCAGACCGGTTTACTCTGATGAATATCCCGACTTGAAATATTATAGATTTTGTATACAGACTTACATAAAAGTTGTATAACATACAATAGAATAATTGTAATTGTAGATCTGCACAGGATGCAGAGTATCTCCTAGTTGGGAGCACTCGACTACAACATGCTAACATTGGAGCATAATCAATCACCAGCGCCTACATATGCTAATTGCCTAGCTTCAAATGATGAATCATAAAAATTTGTAATTGATTATTTTGCATGCATGCCGAATTCATAGAAAATATCGTTTTTCATGCTGAAAATGGAAATACTTTCCCATACATTTCATCAAAATAAACAAAAACATTCCGAATAATTTGTAATTTGAGTAAGAATATAATGGAAATTACAATCTAAATTCTGCTTTTATTTTTAAAGAGAGCCTCTTTAAAGCGAACATTGTGCGCAGATCAGGGTCGAGCTGAAACCGCCGTTAAGCCCCAGCGATAAGTCAACTACAATGGGCATGCAGGTATTCTGGAATCGGGTCTATTGTAGGCTTCACTAATCAGGGATACGCATCAATGCATACCATACCACCTTAACCTGGACGACCTGAGCAGAATGCCGCAGCAATGCATGCTGCCTGACCACTGGCTGGCTGCATTCATCGTGCCACAATCGAGCGGTGGGTCGCCGGTGGGGCTTAAGGCCTCTTCTGTCTGGCTTTAAATGGCAAATTTAAATGCGCTTTATACGTTTTTCCCGGTACGCCGGCCTCTGGGTAATTTGTGTGCGCCTTGCAACCTGTCGCTACCACAACTCACGGCCTGCAATTTTTCAGCAGCTGACAAGATGTCGTCTCTGGCTATGCTGGGCTGGAAGCTGTGTTGCCTGCCTGCCTGCCTGCCAGCCCGTCTGCCCGCCCCTCCGTCTGCCTTGCCTGTGTGGTGCTGCATAATTGCATTGTGGTTTGGGTATTATATGTGCTTTTTCAGTGTTTTTTTTTTTGTATTTTCCTCTCTACCCAGACACGATGTCTGCCTGGCTGCTGACTCACTTAAGACAGCGTCGCACGCTAAGCCGTTGGCTTGGGCTGATTTGCGGCTTTTAAGCCTTAAATGCATTCAGCTCATTTCATTTACAAAAGCCAAGCAAACCAGCAGCAGCTTTTATAGCTATTTCTGTCTCTCTCTCGCTCTCTTGCTCTTTAAGCCACACGCTCTCTCTCTCTGTTTCTCTCTCATTCTCTGTCTCAGTTTCTCGTTTATTATATAATTAAGTTAAAGTGAGCGGCGGCTGGCAATTTGCATGCAGCTCCCATCTCCCATCGCTGAGTCTCCAGCTCCAACCCCCATTTTTCGATTTGACAGCTCTGCACGCTAATTTCTTAATTTTCACCTTCCGCTTTTGCGGTGGCAACTAACTAGCGACAGCATCAGACGCAGAACCACACAGCCGCAGCTCCACAGCCGCAGCTCCGACCCGTATCCGTATCCGCACCCAGTCTAAAGTCTATACATAGCCGTGTGAAGCGCTACCCCTTTTTGTTGCCTGCCTGCCTGCCTGTCCGTCTGTCTATCTGTCCAAAAATCATTTCCGTAATTCTATGTCTATTATTATTATTATGACTTTTATTGTTATGCTCAACTGTTGGCTACCGCTGCTGCTCCCGCTGCTGCTGCTGCTGCTGCTGCTGCTGTTATCAACACCCGCAACCATGGCGCGACGACCCCAAACAGAACTTCAGGCTGAGGCATTAACTGTCCAGCGCCAACCTCCCCTTTCGCTGATTGGTGTTGCTGGTTCATTCGCGCGTTAAATGTGCTTGATAGGTTAGGGGTTAGGGGTTCGGGGTAGGGGCTAGGGCGGTAAATGAGACCCCCTCGATTCGATTGAAACTAGGAATGGTTCATGCCTTCGCTCTGCTCTTTGGCTCGATGGCCGTTTCGTGTTCAATTTAGCGTCATAATTTCGTTGATGGCATGGACTGTGCTCGTCTTTCAACCCACACCCCAAACAGCCGCTTGCCTCTGGCCCCAACACCCGAACGTCGCACCGCTCCACTTGCCCCTTGCCAGTTGCCACTTCGCCCTGTCACAGTTGCTGTCAAGTGTTTTGTTAAGTTCATCAAAATTGTCGCCGGCTGCTGCTGCTGCTGTTGCTGTGGCTGCTGGTGGTGCTGCCGCCTCCATTTAACGCAATTTTTAGTTGCGGCAGTCGCGTCTACTTGACTGTCATTCATGCGCCCATTTCATTCATTCATTCATTCACTCAGCCATTCAAGCAGTTCACGCCATTTACAGTTACAATTAATGTTTGTTTGCATGTCGCCCGCATCGCCCCACACACACACACACACACACACACAACATCAAAGCAGTCCCAAGGCAATTCAGCTAAGCCTCCTGCCCCTCCTCATCATGCTCTCTCACAACACTCTTATCAAAGCATCTAAAAGCTTGCATATTTCATAAGAGCCAAGTTCATAAAAAAAGAACGTCGAAACTGCGAATCCGACCAGCCTGGCCAATTGCCCCCGGGGAGCATAAAGGGTCGTTGTGTGGCAAAAAGCGCAACCTTTGCACCGAGCGCCAGGCACCGTCAAGCAACAAGCAACATTCAACATAAATAAATATTTCTTTTTTACGCCTTGCACCTAGCCACCGCCTCTGGGACAATCACCTGAGCCACCTGGATGCCTGGGATGCCGCTGGTCAACTGGGGCCTGTCATAAAGTATGTTAAATATTTGTTGAGCAAGGTGCGTGCTGTAATTTCAGAACACCGTCTCGGAGTTCATTAGATTTGTCGAATCAACTTGGTCCCGCAGCGGCTAAGGGTTAACAACTCTAGAAGAAGTAGAAACAGTTGACAGCTGGTCACACTGGTCACACAATGGCCAGATAGCGGAATACTGTTACCACACAGGGTATGCTGAGACGATTGAAAAGGTGATGCTTGCTTATGAAAATACATGAATAGCAGTATTTTTTCTAGTATTATCTTAGCAGTGAATAGTTGAATATGATGGGACATATATGGGTATGCAAAACAATATACCCGATAAGTCTAATTTGAAATATGTTGTAGAATATCAAAAACCTCCTTTAGCCTGGATCAAGTTTCCAGCTTGATACCATATAAGCTGCGGCTATTCTTTCCTAAATATTGTTTTTAATCTATCAAACTTAATACTAGATGTTGTTATTTATAACAAGCAGAAAACGAATACGATTTTTTAGCTAATCCGTATAAAATTTCTTCATTCCATTTATTCAAAAATTCTATCAAAATTTGTCTCTCATATACTTTACATTGCATTTTCTAGAAATCAAGCTGATTAATTATATAACATCTTCTGAATAAATAACTTGGAATATTTTGAGATTCAATCAAATTTTAATAAACCATAAAACAAATATAAGCAAGTGTATTGCATCTTCGACAATGCTAAGCTAACGGTTCCTACTTTTTTTTTTAAAGATCTCTCTTTTTTTGTACTTTGGCGGGCATTCGCCTAAAAGCGTGCAGGCATTTTTTCATTGTTGTTTCTTTTCTTTTTGTATGAATTTTATTCTTCTGTCGAGCTGCTTTTGATTTGATTTCGTTTATGTTGTGAGTTTTTGCCTTTTGTCATTCGCTCAACCACCACCACCCTAATTTGTTGTTGTTGTACACGTTTTGCATACAAAACTCACATTCACACAAACACATTCATACGTGTACTTCACATGTATAGAGGGGTAAACCAGCTCATTATGTACAAACATGTTCACACACACACACACGTACACTCACACATATGCTCACAGCATGTAAGAATGTTGATTTTATTGTATGTGTGTGTGTGTGTGTATGAGTGTTGAGTGCAACTCTTTTACATACTTTGTGCTTGCACCTTGGCGTTTCACTTTACTTCTTCGGCTGCTGTTGTTGCTTATTTTGTTGTTGTTATTGTTGTTGCTGCTGCTGCTGCCGCTGCTGATGCGACGAACGATTTATGCACTTAACATAATTTAATTTCCAAAAAAGTGCCGCAACCAACAATAATTTAAAGCTAGCACTTGGCACACAGACACTTCTTGCTTGTTGTTGCGGTTGTTGTTACAGCTTTGTTTTGTTTGGTTTTGCTTTCCTTTCTTTTTCTCTCTCTTCTTTTTGTATTTTTTTTTTTTTTCTTTTTTCTTCAGCTGCTGTAGCTGTTGCTGTTGTTTTTGTTGGGAGGCCTTTAATCAAAAAGCAACAGAAACGCTAAAATGAATACAAGTACCGCGCGCGGAGTAAACGGCTGGCACTAGTAGCTCCCAAATGCTTGGACGAATAGAGTGCTGCAGGCGAATTATTCGCGAGCCACTCACACACTTGCACTTACTCGCACAAACACACTGAAATAACTCGACGTTCGCTATGTTTTCTGTTTAGTTTTGACAATCGCTTCGCTTCCGCACCGTTTCAACACGTCCGCTCGCAATGCAAGTCGTCGCGCAACTGAAAACTGGAAATGAAACCAAGTTGTTGCTATTGCTGCTGCCGCTGCTGCTGTTGCTATTGCTCTTGCTGCTGCGACCGCTGCCAGCGTCGCACAGTGGCTCTCTGCGCATGTTGTGGCTGCGATAACCACATAGGCAATAGGAATATTTTTTGAATGCCTGAAATAATGAATTATTATTTGTGAATCTTTAGAATAAGAATTCAATGCGAACACGTAGAAGGGGATATATTTATATTATATATAATATATTTATTATTAATATAAGAAGAATAAGAAAAATATCTTTATAGGTAGAAGTTATCTTAAAAATATGAATGAAACAATAAATCACTCTCACAATATGATGAGCATCCCTTGAAATATTTTTACTTAAGCGATTCTAAAATATTTAAGCTAATTTAAATCTACGTTCGCAATAATACGATTTTGCCTCAATGTGCGTTTGTCGATGATGCTGCTGTTGCTATCGTGTTTATGTTCTCTTCTTGCCATCGCTGATGCTGCTGATTTGTACTGTTGTTCTCTGCAATGCAATCGCATTGGCAATCGCCATCGACGGAAGGTTTGATTTTTGTCTGCGGTCGCATTAAACTAAAGCACTGTGAAATTGAGCGCATAATGGGAAAGCCATAATTAAATTCAATTGAAATGGAATTAATGCAGATGTGGAATAGTAGCAGATAAAAAAAATTGTTTGCTCGAACTAATGGAATTTCACATTAAGAATAGTAGCTGCATTATTTTAATTAATCTAATTATGTCAATTTAGCCCTTGTTTGCAAAGCTTTACTGCGCATAAAAAAACGTAATAATTAAATTAACCAAGCAAAGCTCCTGTTAACCAACAAAAAAACATTCCATGAACATAATCTAGTCCTATTAATTAGCCAAAATAGTTTTTCTATAGCCAGGCCTGCAACACTGTTTCATTTGCCACGCGTTCCGCACGGCGCGCAACACACACGCACGCACGCTCTCTTAGCCGGCGCCGACTCTCTTAGGCGAAGCGCTCTCTTCGAACACAACGCACTAACGGTACTTTTGGATGCCAGCACACTGACAATTGGGCACTGCGTGCGTACAGGCGGCCGCCACACTGACACAAGCCCACTGCAATGGAGCCCTCTGAGGCGAAACACTTTCGTGCTCTTTGGGTGCCATACTCATTTCCGGTTTCCGTTGCTTTGTGTGCGTGCAAAATTTGAATTGCGTTGCGAACTTTGGCGTCCTGCGTCTCTATATTCAACGTCATTTCTTCGATGTCTTTCTATTTTCTGTTTTTTTTTTTTTTCCTTTTGCCTTTTTGCGTATTGCCATTTATGGAAAACACATTAATAGCTAAGGCTGTGGAGCAGTACGACCGAGCAGGCGGATGTTTGTAATTTCCATGAGCAATGTCAAGAGCGCGCCCATTGACGACGACTGCGAGATGAAGGGCCCCCAAAAATTGTGGGCGTGACTCGTTGCCCAAATCTAATTGTCTGCTTGCTGCTGAAAAACTCATTTTATTAGCTGCCAATTGCCGGCAATGAAGAGAACTTCCCTTGAAGCAGGCTAATCAACAGTTAGACACCAAAGAGTTGGGGGGAGACGAGCCGCGTCGCGTCGGGTGGAGCGAGCTTTGAAGGTGATAAGAAGCGCATTGATAAGATAAGCACAGCTGGCAGCATTAGAATTGAGGCGAGAGCTTTGGCTGTTATCGAAATTAGTCACTAGTTGGATCGCGCACTCGACGGACATGGACGATACGGACTTTTCGCTCAATTTCGGCAGCAAGAACAAGCACAAGAAAGACAAAGCGGATGCTACGAAAATCGTTAGCACGCCCACTTCAGAGGCGGATCTGAATCGAATCATCATCTCCAGACCCACGACTGAGGACACCTACGAGAATTGTCCACGCGCCGGCATAGCCCTGATCCTCAATCATAAGGATGTCAAGGGACATAAGCAGCGCGTGGGCACCGAACGAGATCGCGACGCGATACAAAAATCTCTACTCGGTTATGGGTTCGATGTGCGCACCTACAACGATCTAACCTTCGCCGAAATCAACGACTTGCTCAAAGAAGGTGAGTAATGCCGATTCTATTTATATTAATAAGTATGCGTATATTAATATATCATAATGACTTTTATCGGAAATTCCATTCTGTTGCAGTGGCACGCGAGGATCACAGTCAAAATGACTGTTTCGCTCTGGTCGTCATGTCGCACGGCGATGAGGGCAAGGTCTATGCCAAGGTATGTCTTACATTAGTCTGCTGAGAGATCTCTATTGTCATCTGATTTGCTTATAGGACATGGCGTATCCCGTTGAACGTCTGTGGAACCCTTTTCTGGGCGACAGCTGCAAGACCCTGGTGAACAAGCCGAAGCTCTTCTTCATACAAGCCTGTCGCGGCAGCAATGTGGAACGGGCCGTGGAGTTCTCCGGCATCGTGGTCATGACCAGGGAGCTGGCTCCAGCTGCAGCGCCCGCAGCGCAGCCCATCACCTACGCAATACCCAGCACGGCGGATATGCTGGCCTTCTACTCAACCTTCGAGAGTGAGTGAACCGATTAATATAATTAACATTCAATATCTGATTACTGGATTTCCTTTTCCAGGTTTCTACTCCTTCCGCAATGTTGAGGTGGGTTCCTGGTTCATCCAGAGCCTCTGTCAGGTGCTGGACTCGGCTGCCAGCAATGAGGCCAGCCAGCCGGAGGGCGTGGATCTGCTGCGGCTGCTGACCGCAGTCAATCGCAAGGTGGCCTACGAATATCAATCGAACACGAAGAACGAGGCGCTCAACCAGATGAAGGAAATGCCCAACTTTATGTCCACTTTAACCAAAACTTTTAATTTGCGCGTCAAACCGAAGGCGTCTAGTGCAACCAATTGAAATAGATAACGGAAATATTCCAGCTTATGTTACGCATATTAAACTAAAAAATAAAATTATTTAAATAAATGAGTATCTGTATCTGTATCTGTATCTGTATCTGTATCTGTATCTGTATCTGTATCT